GAGAGAGAGAGAGAGAGAGAGAGAGAGAGAGAGAGAGAGAGAGAGAGAGAGAGAGAGAGAGAGAGATTTAAAGAACGTTAACATGCACAAACAGGCAAACATGTATTGAACTCCTTGTTTTTTCCTTGCTGCCTGTAACCGATGCATCCCTTTGTTCACAACGCTGTTAGTCCTTGCCCAACTCCAAAAGCTACGCCCCACCGTTCTTACGGCAGCCATATATAATTTACAAATATTCGAAGTTTGGAACGCCTGCGTTGAAAGAACGATTTTTAATCTCTCTTCAACTGTATTTTTAATAGCTTCGCAGTCTCAGGGCTATGAAGACTAAGAAGTATTTTTTGGGAATATTTACTCAATTAAGTGTTCTTATACAAATAAAAAGTGGCATATTTCTTGTTTTTGGACGAAAAAATAGGCCCTGTCCATGAGTCTATGTTGTTCCATGATCATCAGCGAAAAATGAATAAACAAACAATCAATCAACTATAATAGTAGATCTACGTTGTCTACCCTTTTCAAGGGCTAATGTCAACAAAATTTTCCCAATTAGAATAAATAGAGAACTGGACCCCCCTTGCACGGCACGCCCTCAAGATCCTTATCAATCGATACTATATCTCTGACTGGCTCAACTTGAGATAATTGCCGCTGCAAATTTGTGTAAACACGACAGTGGCACTTGGCTAAAGGAGCTATATCAACAAAAGGGCACGCTCGGAACACAGTGCAAGGATTATGTCAGAGGTGGCGGCTGTTGCAGTCATGAAGTTACAGTAAAAGAAAGAAGACACTGTAGAAAAAAAAGGAAGCAATGACGCATGGATTTTGAGTCAAGTTGGGAAATTGAACTGAGCATCATCAATTTTTGGGAAATAGAAGAAGATAACCATTTGAATAATTTGATATTACAATTTATTTCAATTTTCCCCCCAAGAGGTCTTCATGGCTCGAATTCAATCTTTCCTTAGACTTAGACATAAACACCCCAAAGCATAATGATTCAAGCGCACATTCACAAACCTTAATTAATCAAGGATTGTTCACTTAGTCTTTTTTATAGGTACATGTACTGCTTTTTGCCGGATCCAGTGGGCCTACGCAGTTTTGCAACGTTCGAAAGCATGCCCCCCCCCCCCTTTCCCCTCCGAAAAAAGATAAATATAAATATAAAAAAATAATTTTACAAAATAGAATTTAAAAAATAAAAGGAAATAAAATCATATTTTCCTTCCTCTAAACCAAACCAGTGAATCGCGATTGAATTGGAAGGCGTAGGGAAAACTAGATATATACCCTGCACACTCGCAGGAGGTGACATTTCGTTCATGGAAGAATCACTATCAACATCAAGTGTCTTGTCTAGATGAGCAAGCATTGGCTGTTACGCTTCTCTATCCTTCCCTTTCACTTGCTGCCTTCATAAATGAGTTGTTGTCGTTCTTCTTTACTTACTCTGGTATAACTTGGAACAACGCTTCAGTCTGCTCTAAATGCTGAAGTAAGGTGATAAATAATACGACGTCATAAGAAGTGCCGATAACTGAGGATAAAAACACCGAGCCTCAGAATAACAGTATTCGCTTTTTTGAAAAAGTAAAATGATCTTTCATAAGGTGAAGTAAACTGGATTCGCCCCTCCCCTTCCTTTTTATTAAAAAAAAAGAGACACACATTTAGTTTGCTTGATTTTAACTTGTAATGTACGGGGTCTCGTGGCTTAGAGGTTAAGGTGTTCGCCTCTCATTCAAAAGGTACCGGGTTCGAATCCGCGTAGCGACGGGAAGATTTTCTTCTCTAAAATTGTCTCCTTTCACCTCCTTTCCTGCTCTCTAGCAATGTTCTGTCGTCTGCTTTCGTCTACATTGTCTGCCCCCACCCCCTCACCCCATTTGCCCCCTCCTCTGGGCTCTTTCTAATCTACTGCTACTCCTTGGCTCATTCTTACTGCTGTCTGTCAGCCACACCCCTGATCTTCTGGTGGAGTAGGAAAGATCTACACCTAGCCTTCTTGGACAAGGGCAAAAAGTCTTGGAGGTCCCGTTTGCAAGTTGCGCACGTTAAAGATGCCTTGGTGGTCTAAAATCGATACGAGTGGACTTTGGCCGCCACCCGGGCAAAATTCAAAATGTTCTACCAACTGAAGATGTTTATTGGGTTCCGCGCTCTCATATGACCTTATGCAGTTGCGAGCGCCATAAAACACTTACCAAAAACACAACAACAAACAAACAAATAAAACTAACAAAACCAAAAAAACAACAACAAAAAAACACCCCTCAACGAACTTGTGCATGTATCTACGAATAAAGTCAATAATATGTGTATGATTTAGCTTTTTCATAAATGTACTAATTGAATGAATGACCAGTTGCTCAACTGACTGATTGACTGATTGCTTAAATGATTGATTAGAAGCAAACTGGACGAAATCACCCCTGGCAAAAAGCAGGAGCCAATGTCTAACCCCCAATGCCCGAGAAGGGTCTGTCTCATACATTATGCACGCAGCATTGTGTTCCCCTTTGAAATTTGTTCTGAACGAAATGACTTTCTCTGTTTAGAGCAATTCATATCGATCCGAATATTGAATAGACAAAAGCAAAAAGGGCAAACGTTAATTTGGACCCCGCATTCTAAAGACGTATGTCGAGCATGACGTCATGGCGACTCAACTGTAGCCCCACTGAGAGTCGAGACCCCGACTGTGCGCAATAGATTTTTAGGTCAAGTAAAGTCCGCATGTTGGGCCCAAGGGTACTTTTACGGTAAACATAATAGTATATTTCGTTACATATGTCATATCTATTTTCAAAGGTTACGTTAAGTCCTGGGGAAAAAAACAGGCTGTCCCCTCAATCGAATAGAGCGGATTGGCAAACTGACTGACATGAAATATCGTAACTAGATTACGTTTTCTCCTCTCTTTTCGACGGCTTTGTGTTTTCCCCCTTTTTTCTATCGGGAGCAGTATCCACAAACCGTAAATGGCACATAATAATAGTAATAGGCCTATATCAAACATCCTGCTTTACGTGAATGTTGAATCACAGATCTCTGTACTGCGGTTAGGGTGCCTTGTTACCACAGCAATACTCTGAATGTTTTTAGCATCTTGTTGGTCCAAGAATCAAGCGTTGTCAGTCAAAATAATCGTCCAGTGCATTGGTCAATGTTCATGTGGAATCACTCCCCCCCCCAAAAAAAAAAATCAAAAAAAAAAAAAATACTGAAAAATCCCACCCCGCATGCTAAGAACAACACCACCACCAGCCCGAAAACGGGACTCCTCCTCAGCTTGTTTTTCTGTTTCCTTTCTTTTACATTACCACCTTAAACGAAATTGCACATTCCGGCGTTATTTGTTAGAGTTTTTCTTTATAAGATAGACATTTAATATACCCGGTATATTGTACGTGTACAAAGGAGAGAGGGAGAGAGAAAGAGAGAGAGAGA